AATGGTGAGTCACCGGCGCAAAGGGGTGACCCACCAACAGCCATTGAATGCATCCACTCAGCAGGGTCATTTTCGATGCGGCATGCCGTATAAATAGTGCCCGTGCACGAAAAGCGGTTTGAATCCACTGGAAGGTTTGTCGAAAAGCATGGTTTTTGCTGCCAATCTTTTGGCACCCTATAATGGACAGGCAAAAGCATGGCTTCTGCCTGTCCATTATAGGGTGCTACGAGTAAGGGGGACTTTTGACTCCATGGAGCATCCAAGGCGTTCAGAAGTATCATTTTCCACACAGGAATATGTTTCCGCAATCCTGATTTTTCGCTTTTCAGGCACACGCAAAAATCCTTATCCACTGATTCAGAATGGCTTTATCGCAAATACAGCGTTGATTCACCCTATTGGAATACCACCCTACGACGCTTTTATGCGTGTTCTATCCCTGAAATTACGAAGTTACCACGGAGGAACTATCACTGTAGCCAACCGAACACGCGCGACAATATTTCGGCGAGGAGGGAGCACAAGGGCAGTCTACCCCGTGATCCCATCTCCCCAAATATATCAGCGCAGTTTCAGGAAAGTCCACGATCGTGGAGAATCGCGACAAAGGAGGAGGTAGTTGGGTGACCTAATTCCCGCACAAGTGGTCTTCGTAGGGACCACGATGCGGAGGAACGCGATCGTGGGAGGAAGAAGTCGATTCCCATCCATTTTGTTGGTTCCGTTCCCTGAAATTCCGTTTTCTCAAGTCGCGTTTAACTAAACTGCGAATTGTCCAGATCAACACGTATATAATCTATATCGGAGGAGGCGGGTGGGGGAGGGGAGAGAGGGGGGGCGTCATTTTGGATGAAATGAGCCCGTCCAATGCTAACTTTCTACTAATATTGATTGTAGTGATTGATTCGGCTGGAAACAACTACTGAGGAAAACGCCGCGTGTGGGCTCATTCCGCGCCTCTTGACACCGCCCCGACTGATTGACTGATACTTGCACCTTTCCTTGTAACAATTCTCCCCTATTGCGGATTCCTTCAATTTCTCTTATTTATCTGTAGCGTCTTGTTCGCTGCGGACGCTGAGATGTTCCCGGGAACGGGAACAGTGGGTTTCGCTCGGCGCCTTCCTACTCTTCACCAGCTGTAGAGCTGCCGGGCAACTACAATTGGTGGAGAATAGCCTGGCGCCGCGTCAAACCCAGCCCACCTGAAACACCTCACTGCCTGCAGCGAACAAGAATTTAAGCAGATTCTGAGCTAAGAATCCAAAAAGAAGGATCAAATATACCTTTTCTAGAGCACCAAACACTTCATAAACTCTGATATCACCTTCCACATAGATAGCTTCCCCTGGTGGATTACTACGCTTGCAATCATTAGCCTAAATTGTGAATAATAAGCATGACTGGATTTGAAATTTTTTGAAATTTTTAATAAATGCAATACATAAAAAAATCACCAGATGGCACGCATAACGTCGCCTGTCTTCTGTGTATAGAAGACAGTTTTCACAAATGAAGAGTCGCTCAACGGCTTTGTTCTTCAAGCGATAGGGCGAGTAATACCAACATTGAATTTCGTAGCTACCAAATATAATTTTCTCAATATTCTTCTCGGGAGGAGTCTTAAAGAGACTAATCATTAAATCTTTGAAAATTCACGGGAAAACAGAAACTATAGGAGCAACGAGCCTCGGAGGGAGGGGGGGGGTTGGACGCCTGTTCTGCCTTACCTCTACAGCCTGCGATTTCCAAGTGGTAAGTTAGCTACGGAGTGATAAAAGGATAAAAAAGGATAAAGTCTTCGCCGTTAATCAATCCCTTTGTGGGATGCGGCACGCATTCTACTTCCATTCAGAATCGTAGTGGCTTATTGAATGCGATGTGGCCTATACAATGACTTGCGGTGGCCAGCCGATGTACAAGTCAGTGTTTTATCCTCCCAGACGAATCTGGTACCAATTTACCGTCCCCGGAGGGTAGAAGGCTTGGTTGGCCTGGGCGGGTGTCGACCTGGGATTCGAACCCAGGACCGCGCGAGTGAGCGCGCCACTTGTCACTACACCACCTCCGCCTACCTAGTGAATCACACAAAATTGTGAAAAGCCAAGTGAGTGCGTGGGAGTTCACTTGAAAAGAAGTTCCTTTTCATCAAAATTACAGGAGCTCACCATAGCGCAAGGGTAAGAATCCAGACTTCTCCCTCTCCCATGCCACCACTCCCCATTGTCAGGTACAAAATCTCGAATAAGAAAGAAAAGAAGCTAAAAGTAGTTTCAAACTAGAAATCTTCACCTTCCTATGATGATCCGCTCGTGCACAAACCTCTTCCAGCGTTGTGAGATCTTCGTCATTTTCCCTTCGTCGCTTTCTTGTTAGCCGAAGCTCGGAACCACCTAAACAATGACTGGACGAAATTCACAGTCGATCTGTCTATCACAACTTCGTCCGGAAGTGAGAAAAAACACGTTTGAAAAAAAACAAGCTTAGGACTCGAAAATTTGTGCTGGACCGAACGTAGGAAATCAGGAACTGTACCTAGTTCTCCACTGTTGTGTTTTGGAGCCAGCTCGATGAATCTGAAAACAAAAAGATCAAGAATTATGAGCTATTTTACTCTTCTACGTTAATACGAGAACAAGGGTTTATGTTGTTTGGCCTCAAGGGTCAAGTCTCTTCTACATACCACTCTGCGTTATTCATTTTCGTCGCATTCACAACACTTTAAGATATCAATTATTGAATCTGAATAAATATCAACGCAACGAAAACCGCGAAATTCTTGCTGTGACACCTGATATAAGTTGTCAGCCTGTGAAGTCAATGCGTAACCAACATATTTTTTGACCCAAATAATTTGCATTCGTGAAGTTATTCATAAAAACATTGATCTAGAAAACGCAAAACAATATAATGCGAAAATGCAAGACTGCGGGGCATTAGTGTGCACTGTAATTAATGAATATGCACGTTGATTCTTACTGTTTCACGTCCTTTTTACCAGTTTACCCCCCTTAACTTTCATAAACTGGTGCACGCTTCATGTCTTGATGTGTTACTAATGAAGGGAGTTATGAACTCCTCCCAAGTAGTGTTACCAATATGCGTTGGTGGTTGCTGAGGAGTCAGGAGGAGGGCTAATGCCGTTTGGACTCCAGCAATTTCGGCACCGAGCTCATTTTTAAATTGCCTAAGTCACCAAACCCGCTGAAAACATGTACACAAGGGTTATTTACCATCGTGATTACAATTATGACACTCATTCTTGGCGCTGGCGCCAAGAGATGACACTACGATTACCTCTTGGGCTCAGCCTTAGCAGAGCGCAGGTAATCGTAGTGTCATCCATTAGCGCCAGCGGCAAGAGTGAATGTCATATTCGTAATCAGGATGTTAAACTACCCCTACATACAAGTTTTTAGCGGATTTGGTGAACTTAGGCAATTTAAAAATGAGCTCGGTGCCGAAATTGCTGGAGTCCAAACGGCATTAGCCCAGGAGGAGAAGCGAGTCTGGCGCAGAGCCACCACGCTATCCACCAAAAGTGATCGCTTCCAGTTTCCATAAATGATGGAAACCGGTTTGGTGCCTCGCTAAACTTAGCCCCCTGACACGGCCCAGCATCCGCAGCGAACAAGATTGTATTTGGTAGTGTCGCAAACAGTCAGAGCGGTGTCAGGAGGAGCGGAATGAGCCTGAGGCTGTCTGCGTCTGCTATAGCAATAAAGATTGTTTAGTGATCGATTTAGAAAAGACAGTCCTGAAGGAAACACCGCGGGCGCGCTCATTTCATCCCTCTTGACACCGCTATGGCTGATCGCGCGATAACAACGTTACACTTACTGCTCGTGAGTAATCCACTGGTCGAGACGTCGATCTTGTCCATCAAAATGTACGAAGTATTCTGCTTGATTCTCGACACCATTAGCGCTCTGCAGTAAGTTCTTAGAAAGGATGAAAGCAACGATGACTAATTGGCAGAATCTTGCAACTGCTAGATACCCTATCCCACCAGAGCTCACCAGCCGTTGGGTAAAATACGACGGCGGATCGTATTATTATCTAACTATCTAGGGGGGGGGGGGAAAAAGTCACTTCGACCGAGTCACATATCAGCAAAGTTTTCGCTGCCCAGAGGACGTGGATACGAGTACCAGGGCGGAAGATACCCAAGATGTTCCTCTATAAGCAGGAGCTGGCTCTCGCCCATCACCTTCATGTACACCAAAATATGAAGTCATCTCCAGTCGCAGCCTGACTGGAGAAGACCTTTGGAATTCATGTCACCTCCAAACAGCTGCGAAACTTCTAGTATGGAGTCACCCATGGATAGCTACCTGGAGACCAGTACTCTCGATCTGGATGACCTCCAACATCGAGCAGCTCCGACAACGTCGCCACGGTCTAGGACATCATCTTCACCAAGGCGCGGGTTGATGGTATGGACCGGACGTACCTGGAATGGAAAGACCAATATTTTCTTCGTGGACCCCGGACTGAAGGTGAGCGCTGGCGGTTACATCGAGCAACTCGTGAAGAATATCCTCCTCACATGTCGTCGCCCGTACCTTCTTGGAAACTTTGTACTGCTACAGCATTGGGTGCCACCACATGGGCATTGGAGAAACTCTCGCCTACTTGGAATGGAAGGGGGCTGAGTACCTAAAGAAGATGGAATATCCAAGTAGGTCACCTGACCTGAATCCCCTCAATTACCCGGTTCGCGGAGTTCAATAGGGTGGTCTACGGTGGCGGAGAAATCGACTATCTCGCTGACACCACATCGCGGTCGCGTGCCAGAATCTCTCGATGGCGCTCGTCCAGAAGGCTGTGGCGGAGTGTCATGATAGTATTTAATATGCTCTTTAATATGGTGGTAAAAATGTCCGATCAGAATTTAATAAAGTGTAACTTATAGCGCCTCGAAAGTCAATGAAGGAAAGTGACTTTTTTGCCCCCCCCCCTGTATTATCGAAGAGATTTCGTATTATGCCATGGCTTCTGTCTCATTACTGTTTTTTCACGTTTCACTCGCGAAACACCGTTTCTCGCCCTAGTAGGCTGCGCAGTTAAACTGACGTTTCCGATAGTCGACTAGAGATTACCATACCCCGCTCGAAGGAAAACTTTGAGAAAACTTGCAAAGATGGTAGGTAAAATAGGGGGGAGGTCCTACCAGAAGAAGAAATTTCGAAAGTTGTATTTTGCAACAGTTTTCCACAATGTAAGGAATGTCACGCTCAGAAGCAACAAACGGCGGATAACTGACGTACAGACCCTTCATGAAGCGTGTGAGACAAATTCTGACACTTTCACGTACTCAAGGGCGCCACCCGCCGAAAAGGTCAAGAAATCCCCTCCCTCCCAAACATTCAGCCATAAGTAGTGTGTCTCTGTCGCCACATCTCTTATCTACAGTGGTGTCCAAACAAGTTGCGGCACTACTGAACTATTCCTACCCCAAAAACTCAAAAAAATTTTCGCTGAAACGTTGCCTATAGGTGTAATTCGATGCCCTGATCACGAATATCACATTCGTTTCGAGCGCTGGCGTCATTTGGCGCCATTATGCGCCAATTTGGCGCCCACCACTTTTTTCACCAAAGTCGATGAAAACTTGCATATGGGGGTTAATTGAGGTCCTGATTACGAATCCAACATTTATTTTTGGCGCTGGCGCCATTTGGCGCCATTACGCGCCAATTTGGCGCTATATTAATACATAATGGCGCCAAATGGCGAAAGCGCTTGAAAGACAGTGTGATGTTCGTATTCAGGATGTAGGTTAATTTTCATCGACTTTGGTGAAAAAAGTGGTGGGCGCCAAATTGGCGCATAATGGCGCCAAATGACGCCAGCGCTCGAAACGGATGTGATATTCGTGATCAGCGCATCGAATTACATCTATAGGCAACGTTTCAGCGAAAAAATTTTTGAGTTTTTTTTGGGGTAGGAATAGTTCAATAGTGCCCAATGTGCGATCAACTGTTCCGTACCGACTTGTTCTCTGCGGATGCTGGGGCATGTCAGGGGAAGGTGGGTCTGGCCAGTCAGTTTTTCACCAACTGTTTCCCGCACTTCAACCACGGGTAGAGAAGGGTTGGCGCCCAGCCAAACCCGGCCGCTCTGAACGCCCCAGCATCCGCAGAGAACAAGATTGTGGGCAAGAACATGCGGAAGAACTGCTGAACCCTGCCTATAAACTGTATATCGCTGAGGCACCATAATTAGGGAATAGGATACGGCACGAGGGGCTAGAAGCACGGAGCGACGCTACTTTTGCTCGTCTGCACCATCCCAGGGAGCAATTAACTTTCACGCAAACTCAACCTCAACAGAGCACAAAGAACACACACTAGCACTTTCTACGCTCTCAGCTAGTTTACCGTCCATCTAAGTTTGGCAAACTAAGCAAGTAGCCAGTTCTTCCAACTTTGTATTTAGAACTTACCGCGCATGTAGACGGACGATCCAGGTGCTCAGCTTTTTCTCCGTTAGGATTTCTAGACTTAGAATTTAAGCCAGGAACTTCTTTTCTTCAGAAGAGTAGCTAACACCTAAAAAAAACTGGTAGAAAATCAGCTCTTCTGAAAACTCCCCACGTTACTCACCCTCCTTTTTTCGCCATTCACCATCCGCCAGACAACAACGCGCTCATTAATCTTCACGTTGTCAAGACCTGGCGCTTTTTCAGTGACATCAGTCGACACCGATTTCTCATCCTCCATTATTTGCTCATCTACAACAAGAAACCTACCGATCTGAAAACGAGCAGCGAAATTTGGATCAAAAGGCAACGGCCAATACACCAGTCAAGTAGCTAAAGCTGTCGATAAAGTATGCCTAAAAAGATTTACAAAATCTCTTGGCCGCTAGGTCTTTGGCACGATGTCAAATTCACTTCAACTATGCTGAGTTGCTGTGAATACAAATAGCCGACAGAGATGCAACCAGGTATCTACGACCGTTTGAATCGATTTTTGAAGCAAAGAAAACAAACACCAGGTGAAAATAGCCTTCATTCCAAGAACAATTTATCAAGTATAAACAACAGAGTATCCAAATGTAATAATTAGCGTCACAACAGTATAGATGCTACTATTTGATGTACTTATCCATGAACTTTTTGTGGAATTCTGAGCGTATAGCGTCATTAATAAATGTGGCCTCCTTCTTGCGTTCATCAAGACCTGGAAATAGAGCTATAAAGCATGGTACATGATGTATTTTTCAATTCGCACAGTTCTGCCGTTTCGTTCCCACCCCATGATGCGGAAAGCGGCGAGCCGAATAGCGTCACGTGAATTGCATTTTTCTAGGACCCAACAAATTCAACGCGCAAGAGCTACAGTATGTCGAGTTAGCGATCAAGGAAATGCCAACCAATTTGTGCGTAGCACTGCAACGTGAATATGCTGACCAGCTCCCAAATAATATGAAAATGGACGCTGATTAGGATTTCAGGGAAATGGAAATATTAGAAGCACGCATACTGCAACCATTTACTTTTTACTGCCCCACACTCTGAACATTGAGGCAACCCTGTACATTCTTAGGCCGTGTTCATACTCTGCCATTGAGGAGATGGGGAGATTTGGGAATCCGCGATTTGTGAGATTGCGTTACGAAAAAAGTATAGGCATATATTTGGTAATCGCGGAGATTGAGCGACCTGACATTTTGAAATGATCTGACCTTTCAGGAAGACTCCGAAAACTCTTTCGCCGGACTCCAAAAATGCCGAAATTGCCAAGTCGCCAAAGTTCCTTAGTGGCAAGTATGAAATGCGGCCTGTTCGCAGCACAGCGCAAACGGCTAGACTCCACACCAATTGGGAGAGAGTCATAGTGGAGCTGTCAGTACCCCCACCCCTCCCCCGCCCTCCTCCCGCCCTTAACTACACTTCACGATTCTTGTCGCGATTTCAGCATTACTCATGAAAACTTTCGGACACTGATGCACAAACAAATACTACAACCGTAAATGAATCAAAGAAGAATGCAATCACGCCTATAAAACTGAATTGTAAAACTAAACATGGTCAGCCATTGCGTGGAATGAAGCATTGCTATATTTTCATGCATCCTTCTATTCTATAAACCAGTAACTTTGTGTGTCGGTTTTGTATGTATGTATGTCTGTCCGTCCGCAAAATGCTTCACGGGTTCGAGTTCGCTGGAGGCGAAAACGACCGCTAGGCAAACCGGAAACGATTGGTGCAGATGTATCAATCCAATGTTTTGATTGTGATGCAGCCACCGCTAATGGTACAGGAATATGTGGGTGACAAGAACTGCTAGCTGCTGATAAGATTTGATAAGGGGAGTTAGAATGGAGGTCAACATACTCATAACGCGGGACACAGCATCAGTTAGGCGTTGATTTCAGCAAATGATATCAAGGGGAAGGTGGAGACGGCGACGGCGGGTGACAGGAAGTGATAACAGCTGATAGGGCCTGATAGAGAACGATGCAGTTGTTGTTCAATCAAATGCTGGAGCCTCTACACCACGAAATTATGGAGTTTTAGTGATAGCGACATTGATGACGGGTGACAATCAATTTTATCAGTTGGTAAGACAAGAGGACATTCTCGCGACATCTGTAACCACTACACTGCCAAATAAACAAGCCTCTCAGTAAGCGAACTTTTCCCCAGCCATCACTTCTCTGATAGCACTAGAAAATGAACTCATCCCACTATCCTACTATGTATAATGTTGAAGTCGAGGAGGGGGGGGGGTGGGGGGGGTATGTACTTCGTCTGAAAAAGGAAGTTTTGAAAAATTGAAAACCTGACACACTTCATGCGTTCAGTGACTATTTGACTATTTTTTGCTTTTCAACTTTTAATCACTGATGAGAACGAATAATGAAGTAGTCTGTAAGATATTCAACGAACGCAGCTCAAATATTGGCATATGCAGTCATTCATGCGAGTGGATTGCATCTTAGTGGCAAGTTAATCGCTCATCGTTGGTGTTGTGATGCAGGTAATAAAAACGGAATTTCATATTTATCATATTGATATTGCGCTCATGGCCGACTGTACTTCCTATATCTTCCATGATCTACGTATAGAATGGGCGTTATGGCCGAAACCAGCACGCCTTCCGCAAATATCAGGGTATCAGAGGAGTGAGGAGTGCAGAATTCTCTAGGTTGCTCTGTCTATTATGATTCGACCACTACCGCGCAATATGAGCAGCTCAGACAATTAACACATTCCATTCCCGTTATGATGTGCACCTGGCGAAGCCAGGCGAGCCCGGCAAAGCCGGGCTTAAGGGAAGGAGGAGAGCTCGGCGTCAGCCGGGCGCTCCGACTGTAAAAAAAAAAAACAATCAACCAAGACTAGAACAAAGTCAATGAACCACCGACCTTTGGCACAGTTTTTGAATACAACGTCGTCGTCCCATCTTCGCTTGACTTTGAAATCTCCGCCATTGGAAGATGATGCAGAGTCAACTGGGTTCAACAACGGGTTGCCCGCAAGAATGTTGTCCATTCGAATTTTTTCCTAGAAGAACGTGGCTATATAAACTTTGAAAACAAGAAGTAGAAAAGCCGAGTACGAAACCAGAGAGATCTCTTCTTTGGCACTTCCACCCATACACCAGAAATACTAGCGAAACAATCTTGTCGTGGGAGTTGTTGGCTACTATTTCTAGTGAACGCGTGGAGGTGCAGACGAAAAAGGGTCTAGCAGACGAAAAAGGGTCTATGCTAGTAGCACGTACCTCTCGCCTCTTTTCCTCTTCTTCTTTTGCGGCCTTTTCTTCTGCGCGCTCCTTCTTTATTCTTTCTAGTTCCGCCATAAGAGCAGCCGTGTCGTCTTCATCGGAATCATCATCAGATGAGTCATGCTGCAATTCATACACTCTCATACTTTGATGTGAGAAAAAGCGTTAATACTTGTGAGGGAGATTCTAAAGCATCCTTGGGTGAAACTCTGATCCCCAAAGAGGATAAGGACTTTTGGGCAAGGCTAAGGAGGGGTGGATCTAAGGAGTTGGTGAACCGATTCAATGGACGGTACTTCTGATAGTATAAGTGTTCCCTGAGCTTCATTGTATTGAGATTTGTTCTTATGTATAGAAATACATAAGATATCTTTCTATACATAAGGACGGTACTTCTGTTTAGATGACGTGAATCCCGGATTGTTTGAGAAAACTCCTTTAATTGCGCTCGCGGCAGGATTATTAGCTTCTAGGAAAACTTATGAAGTGACATACAAGCCTGTCCGGTCCCCTATGCAATTCAAAGGGACGAAATTAACAACGAAAGTTCAGGAAAGTCAAAAAAACACCCACTTCATCTAGCGGCTCATCCGCATCTACAGCTGCATGTGAAGACTCTTCGATCCTCGCCCTCTTGTTACTCGAACTAGAAGCGGCTGCTTCACGATTGCGCCTTTCCCGAGAGGCTACCTTCTCCTTGTCCTCCAATTCACGTCGCAGATCCTGAAATAACAGCATTTAGCGCGTACCCGTTGTGTTACGAGTAGCTAGTGAGTGCTCTCACCCGTCTCCTCAACTCCTCTTCAGTACCCTGACCCTGTTGTCTGTACTTCAATTTGGTATGTGATGGCATATCTTTAGACGAATATTGCTGCGACAGTTTCGATAAGTCTCCCTCGGTTCGCCCAGTGCCTCCTCGGGCA